GTGTAGGGAGGCCTGGGGGCTCCCAGACACCGGGAGAGGCGTTCTGGAGACAGGGCCAGCAGGGAGAAGACCCTGTGGGAGACGAGGAGGCAGGCCTGCCTCCCACGCTCTCGCCTTCTGTTTTTCCTCCCTGAATCGCTTACCTGAAGGAAAAGACAGCAGCCAGCAGGGCTGGATAGGGGCCCTCCCATCAGGCCGGTCGGAGGACCCAGAGGAAGTGGTCATCGAGACGTCTGAACCCCAACTCTAACTCGGCCGCTAACTAGAGCAGGGGCTTGGGATTTGGGTCTTTTCACCAGAAAGTCGCCAAGTAACCACCTACGGGCCTGACGCGTTTCTTCTGTCCCTGAATACCTGCACCCCACAGGCCACATCGCAGGGCTCCATGGAGGAAGCTGCAAGGAAGTGTCCCCATTTTAGACAGGAAGATGGAGGCATGTAGGAACTTAGAGGGCTTGTCCCAGCCACCCTGTGTCACGGATGGGAAACTGGGTTCCAGAGAGGCTGGTGTGCTTGAGTTCAGGAGCGTGTGAGGGGCAGGGCTGAGATTCGAACACGTCCCCTGCTGCAGCACCCAGGGCCTGATGGTCAGTAGGAGAGGGTGTGCGGTCCACAGCCCCTGGCTGCCACCTTTCATCCGAGAGGGGCACGTGAGAGTCCTAGGGAGGACTTCCTGGGCCGGCCTCTGCAACTCTGCCCGGGACGCTGTGCGTTCAGTGCAAGGCCAGCCTTCGAGCCACCCCCGTTCTTGTCACCTGCTCTTTCTCCTGCTCCTTCGTCCCCTTGCTGCTCCTGTCCTTTCCTGTTGTCACAGCCTTGGTGGTGAGGGACAAGCACAGGGGCCTCCCTGCATCTGGGGAGGACGGCCGTGTCTGGCGGCCACCTCCGCCTCCCTAGTCTCCCTGGGTGGGAGTGGGGGTCCTCTGTGTATCCCCCCCGTCGCCGCCCTCCCCGCCTCGCTGAGAACACCCACCCTCTCACATTCTCTCTGGTTTTTATCTTCAAGCAAGTCGCAGTCCCTGACCAATGCCTTCAGCTTCTCTGAGTCCTCCTTCTTCCGGTCTTCAGCCAGTGACGATGCAGCCAAAGCGGAGACCATCCGGAGCTTGAGGAAGTCTTTTGCCAGCCTCTTTTCAGATTAGCTCTGCAGACCGCGGGGCACCCGGCCCCCCCGGGAGAGGCTTCTGACACCCTCACCAGCAGCAGGCACCACACCATGGTGGTGACATCCGTGACCTTGATACACGTGGCCCGTCTGCCCTGTCCGTGCTAAGTGACATTAGCCTAGGAAGGACCCCTGGGACAGTGTCAGGGCTGGTGCCCACCCGGCGAGGGCCACCCGGCCTCCGAGAGGAAAGAGCTGCTTCCCCGTAGTCAGGAGCGCCTCCTCCTGCATCGTCGTGCGCTGTGAGTTTAGTGGCCTTATTGTGACCGCGCCATCCTGTCTTATTCATCCTTCCTCGTGAAGCTAGACTTTCATTGAGGGCTCCCGGCAGCTGCCCTAGCTCAGACGCCGTGCAAAGCATGCTCCCCTGTAGTCAGCTCTCTCTGCCGGGGAAGTGGCCACTCACCCCAAAGTAGGCTTTAGGAACTTCCCAGACCTGGGTCCCTTTCCTCACCGGATTGACTGTTTCAAGTACCCCCGCCCACGTAGCCGGGTGGGCGAGATCCCTAGACTGCTCTGAGGGTGAAGCACTTGGAGTCGGCTGGTATTCCAGGAAACCGAGGAGCCGCCGTCCCCCCTCGCCTTCCCTCTGGCGAGCGGTTCCTGTGCGTGAGCCGCAGTGATCCTGTGCGTGAGCCGCAGTGACCTTGACCTCCGACTGCACCCTAGAAGAGAGTGCATGCCACTGTCACAGCAGAATGCAGTCCTGTGTCCGTCTCCTAATAAATGTCAAGACCTTTGGTGTAATTAAAAAGCCGCAGCGTTAACCAGCCCCTTGATTCGGCCACCCCGCAGGCGTGTGCGTGTGCAGGGCCGGGAAGTCTAGGCAGTGTGACTGATGGTGGCACGTGTGCGTGTGTTTGTGGGCATACATCTGTGTTTGCACGCAGCCGAAGAGTGTGTTGTCCTTTACATGCCACCGGCCACAGGCCTCCTGACATCTCCTGGGGACGCTTCTCGAAGACGGCTGGCCTTCTTCTGGCAACTCAGCATCTCTGCCTCGTTCACGGAGCGGACAGCCTTTCGAGTCAGCGTGGCGCCCCGTGCCTGTAGCAGCCAAGTTCGACCCACTCATCTGGCCCGCCACTGGGTCCCTTAGCTGAAGTCCCCATAGTGCCAATGAGGCTGGACCGATTGGCTTCGGTGACAGAGCAGGGTCTCAGAAACCCAGCCCAGACACCCTGAAGAGGCCCCGGGGGGGGAGGGGCATTGACAGGTTTCACTCTAGCTTCTTCATGACTCCCCGATACTTAAGAGTGTGTCTCCGGGACCAGCAGTTGGCATAATGGCTATGTCGCTGAACTCCCATGTAGCTGCTGTGGTTCGAGTCCCAGACCCGGTGGCTTAAACTCACTCCAGGTGCGTGTGCGTGCGTGCCCAAGATCCCGAGAGGAGAATGGAGGAGACGGGGTTGTGGTGTGAAAGAGTGTGTCCCCAAAGACCACACTGACCGTGACACTAAGTGATGTAGCTGTACCAATAAGAAATTAATACCGTACTAGGATTTCATCTAAATAATGTCCTGCTAACTTGACCAGTTCCCGCTCCTCCGAAGGCCCCAGGTCCCTAACCTCCCTCACGCTGCAGATGCCCAGAGGGGAGGGAACGAGCCAGGGTCTCCTTTCTAACTCACTCATTCCATGTTTGGGGGCTGGGGGTAGGTTCCAGGATGAAAAATGGCACCTTTCCTTTTTCAGCAAGTAGAGCCTTCGCTGAGTGACAGATGTCTAGAGGAATCATAGTCACCTCTCCACAGGGGACAGACCAACCAGATAAAAGGGGGGGGCAGGCTCCAGGTCACTGATCTTCAGGCTCCTATCTCAGCCATAGGGAGGCGACGCTTCCTTCGATTCGCTTATGTTCTGTGCACCTAAGAATGAAACTAGTGTAAGACGGACTAATGGGACGAAAGCATGCATATTCCGGGGCCAGCAGGTGGTGTGGTGGTTAAGGCACTGGACTCTCACATGGTCAACTGCAGTTCAAGTCTCAGACCTGTTGGTTTCTCACCACTTTCCCTCTCTGTCTCTCTCTCTCTCTCTCTCTCTCTCTGACTCACTCTGCTGAGCGTACATGCCCTATAGCAAAATTAAAATAATAATAATCAATACAATTAAATAATCCTTTCTTTAAAAAAAAAGTATACACATTTTAATGGTTTTATGTGTACACGGGACTCATCATAAGGAAAACGAAGACCCAAAGGAACTGTTAGGCCCAAAACTTACATGGCAGTTTAAACAGAAACGAACACATTGTGAGGGGCTGACAAAACAAAGGAGTGTGGGCCACAGCCGGCGAGCTGTGGGCAAGCGACTAGGAGCTGTGTGGGGAAGCTGACGGCAGGAAGAGTTACGGATTCTAGGAAGGTACTTGGTACCTGAAGTCAGCTCCCTGCCTCTGGCCTAAGAATGCTCTCAGCGTCCTTGTTCAGGGGGACACCTTCCACAGGAGTTTTAGACCCTGCTTCAGGCAGAGAGGGGAGGCCAGAGACCCTCCTCTGCCTCTGTCATTGGTCCCCTGCCTTGTGCTCAAAGTAACCAACATGCCAGAGAGGCATGTTTGAGGTGGCCTGCTCTGCACCCCTTCACAGCCTAGCACCCAAACTTGGCTTGCTTCTTGCCCCCGGTTCCAAATATGTTCCCATAGGCTGCGCCCATTTAATCACACGCGCGCATTGAACATTTACTACAAGGTAACACATCGCGGGAACCAGCAGTTAGCGTAATGGCTATGTCGCTGGACTCCCACATAGTCGACCGCGGTTCACGTCCCGTACCCGGTGGTTTAAAAAAACTCACGCCGGGCGTGTGTGCGTGCATGCCCAAGATCCCGAGAGGAGAATGGAGGAGAAGGGATTGCGGCGTGACCATCCCCCCTGGGGGGTGATTTCTCGCTTTCTGTCTCTATGTCTCTCTCTATCTGGCGAGCGCACATGCCCTACAGTGAAAATCTCTCCAAAAAAAAAAAGGTAACACATCGCGATGGATTCGAAGAAAGCGTGCTAACCTGCTAGGATACTATTACGTTCTAGACGCTATTAGAAGCCCCTCCCATGTATCAGTGTATTTGTTCTTACCCACAAGCCTGTGTAATAGGTACTATTACTAGTTTACAAATGGGAAACAAAGGGGAAAAAAAAGTTCAATACCTTGGGGCCAGCAAGTGGCATGGAGGTTAAAGGGGCTGGACTCCCACATGGCCGACCGCAGTTCAAGTCCCTGCTCTCGCTCTCACTTTCTGTCTCTCTGGCTGGTGAGTGAGTATGTGCTGTCTAGCAAATTAAAAACAACAACAACAATAATAAATAAATTAAGCTTAAAAAAAAGAAAAGCTTCAATCATTTACTCCAGGTCACCCTGGTTAAGCAGTAGAACTGGGATTTAAACCCGAGGACTGTAGCAGCAGGACTCAGGGCTTTAACTACACCAGGCTATGTCACTGAGGCTAGTGGAGCCCACGAGACATCATTTTCTGAAGTTTTACATCACGCGATCACAAAATAAGAGGTGTGTATACAAGTTCTTCACGCTCCTGTGCACCTTCCCTCTGTCTCCTGACCCAGGAAAAGGACAGGGAGGGGAAGTTCGAAACCTTGCTACCAGGGCTGACCCCTTGTCCTCAAACCATGAGTAACATACGCAGTGTCTTCTCTTCTGATTTAAAAGGATTCTGGTTCTTGAAAAATTACTCATTCTAACACATGTGATGTCAGGCCAAAAACCACAAGTGGCTTATTTAGAAAATGAGTCAGCCTGGCACTGCTGGGGTGACAAAAGGGGGAGGCGTTTATCATAGGTCACGCAGCACCTGAGCCCAAAGAACACATGGATTCTACCCCCAAGCCCTTCCCGAATAACCGGGCAGGCCAAGGGTGGGGGAGTTCCATTCAGAAGGAGCCTTTGGTACTTTATGAAGATGGCTCTAGGGACTGGGAAATTGCTTACCACAGTCAATAGATACATGGGGAATCTTGTGCTGAGAAAATGAGGTAGGCCCAGCTTCAGTTACATGCGCTGCTAAGACGCTATGTTCCACAGTCCAGGACCACGTAGGAGGCCTAGGTTCGATTCCTGGTCCAACTTAGAGGCCAGAAATGGTGACAGGGACTTGTAATCCCAGCTGGTAGGCTAAGGCATGAGGACCAGAATACAGCAAGGCACACTCTTTAAAAAAAAAAAAAAAAAAAAGGGACCAGCAGATGGCTTAATGGCTACACCACTAGACCCCCACATAGTTGAGAGAAGAATGGAGGAGAAGGGATTGTGGCATGGCCAACTCCCATAGGGGGTGATTTCTCACTTTCTGTCTCTGGCAAGCACATGCACCCTATAGCAAAAAA